AGGAAAAGCTAGAAGTGTCAGGGCTTTTTAACACAGGCAGGTTAACCTGGTCCAGAGTCAAAGCTCGGCCGTAAGGGCATGAACACTGGGAGGAAGGCTGAAAACACCTGGCACTTTAAGCGTGCAATCCAGGTGGAGGAGTTTGGCACAAAGGAACTTTCTTCTTGGTGAGAGGACATACGTCAGACCAGTCAACCAGGTCCCTCTGGTATTTCCTAGGAGGGTGTTAACGCAGCAAGGGGTAAGGAGAAACAGGAATTCTAAAATGCAGAATGAAAATGGCAAGGCACACTAACATCGAAGCTTGTGTAATTCCTCTGAACAGCTGTCCTGGGAATCCTGTCCAGGCATGGACGGAGCAGGGCAGAGGAGAAGGACTGGGAGAGGTGTCCTATCTTTGAGCTGTATTTTCTTGTGTGCAGGGAATGCTTGGGGGTGGAGTCCGCAGGCCAGAGAGCAGCCTGCAGCCCTGCTGCCTGGGGAATCATGCTCCCCTGGATCTCCCATCCTCACTGAACAGGGGGTGGGGGGGGCACTCAGGATGCACAGAAATTACAGAACAATTCAGGCCAAAAATCTCTTTCAAATTCGGAATTGTTTTTCCTCTCAAAATTGTAGCTCCACGTTTCTTTCTCCCCGTTATTATTTCATCACCAAATATTAATGAAGCGCTTCAAATATGCTCAAGGGGGTGAGATTTCTCTTTTTCCTGTAAAATTCCAATTAGTCAAAAGCCTACTCAACATGTAGCTTCAGTCTGAGCTGTTGTGCACAAAGGACTCAACACAGCAGACCTGAGACTGCTCTCCTTAGAAAGGTCTCCTCGCCTGGCTGGCCCTTGGCTGGCATCTGAGGACTTGGACTTCAGAAGTCCTACCAGTTTAACAGAGAAGCATGGCTCGCCGTGCTGCACTGTTTTGTACAGACAATGTGGTTTATGCTGAGCCCCTGCTTTCCTTTGGAGGGTCTGGAATCTGGTACGTGCTCAGTAGAGGGTGCCTGTGTGACCAGCCTCCAGGAAAAAGCTGGGTGCTGGGTCTCTAATGAGCTTCCCTGGTAGACAGCATTTATGACGTGTGGTCACAATTCACTGCCGGAGCAGTGAAGTGCATCCTGAGTCGACTCCACCGGCAGGGGACTCTGGAAAGCTTGAGCCCGGTTTCCTCCAGACTTTGCCTCAGCACTTTTTCCCTTTGCTGATTTCGCTCTGTACCCCTCGGCTGTAATAAATCACAGCCAAACTAGATGCTGAGTCCTGCGAGTCCCGGTGACTCACCCCCCCCCGCCCCATCCATCCCAGGGACTCTTGATACAACCGTCCTCAGCCAATTCACTTTGGCAACGGTGCTGTGCCAGGCATAGGGAGGCTACTCACTCCACTGATCCTGAAACACGAGCGCATGAGAAACCAGGGATCACATGACCTACTGTCCCATTCAGTGTTGACCAAGCACCCATCACATGCTCAGCAAGATCCTAACCTTGTGATTTCTGTCCTTGAAATCTGCAGTCAAGTGTAAGAGACAACGATGGGGAGGATGAGGGTGATGGCAGGTGGGTAGTAAGAGCTAACACTTACCTGGTGCGTGCTACATGCTGGGCACTCCCTGGGCACTTTCAGCATCAACTCCCGTAGTTCTGACAACAAGCCTGGGAGGGGGGCGCTCTTCCCTCCTCCATCCTCACAGATGAGGAAGCCGAGCACATCAAGGGGAAGTACTCCCCAGGTCACATAACTAGTTAACAGCAACACATCCTCTGGCTTCAGAATCTGAGTTCTGGACTAGCATAAACAGGCTCAATTGCATCCATGTCTTTAACAACCATAGTATTTACTACATACCACCCAGCATTAAAATGGTTTCTTTTAATAGTGTGGGGTTTTTTTTTAAGATTTTATTTATTTGTCAGAGAGAGAGAGAGAGAGAGAGAGAGAATGAGCAGGGGGAGCGGCTGGCAGAGGGAGAAGGCTCCCTGCTGAACAGGGAGCCCGATGCGGGACTCGATCCCAGGACCCTGAGATCATGATCTGAGCTGAAGGCAGATGCTTAACCCACTCAGCCACCCAGGCATCCTGCACTAAAATTATTTGTATGCGTGTTTTCATGCCTGTGCTAGACTCTAAGCTGTGTGGCAGGCTCCTGCCCGGTGCACCCCTGGGTCTTCACCATGGTGCCACACTTCACATACGGTAAGCGCTCAGGTGCACATGGATGGCAGAGAACAATCATTCGGCGTGGGAGGCCAGCACAGCCTAGAGCAGCAATGATAGGTCTCAGGGAACACTGAGGGAGATCTCAAAGGCAAGTTCTGAAGAGTCAGAGGGGAAAACAGGCAATCCCCATGGCGGTAACAATATGAGCAAAGAGGTGGACCCAGCAATGAGCAGCGCAGGGTGAGGGCACCAAGGGAAGACTGGCTGGGGTGAGGGGTGTGTTTGGGTAAAACTGAGTGAAATCCAACGATGACAACCCTGGAGTTCCAAACTGATGGGCAGCCAGTGAGGATGAGAGTGACAGTGTTTAAAGGGCCAATTGGGTAAGACTTAGCTGGGAGCAGAAGAGATGGATGGCTTGATGGGCTGGAGCCCTGGAGCAGGGTGCGGGGGTGACAGGCTTCTGGATGCTGCGATGCCCCCCTGCTCGAGGTGTGGCCAGAGCCCGAGACCGAAGATGGGGCCAGGTCTGCTGGGAAGACACGCAGGGCCCCAGACAACGCACCCTTTCTCAGCTCACGGGGGGCCCATGACCATGGCACACGTTCCTTCCCACTCTGACTCTTTACGATTCCAATAGATTCGGGTTGGAATTAGCACGCGAGCTGTGGGTTTTAAGAACCATTTCTGAAGGGAGAATGGACGGAATCTGGTAGCTAATTCCAGCAGCAGGGGTGTCAGGGGTGTCAAAGTTGGGCGCGGGCGACCGAGCGAGGGAGTCATGGCCATACTGACAGGAGTAAGGAAGTCTGGGCAGAAAATACAGACATTCTCTATTTCACACAAAAAATATGTTTATACGAACAGTCTTAAGGGCTGTAAGAAGTGAGACTTCAAGTGACAATAAGCTACAAGAAAAAAAAAAAAGGCAGAAAAAATTTAAAAGCAAGCCCCAGAGGAAATGAATTAGTTGATAGTTGCTTTATCCACCCCATTCATCATTTAACGTTTCCAGTACGCCCAGCTTCAAAACAAACCACCCCCTATCAAAATATTGCTTACACAACTGCAGTTGGATCTGATGAATTCTCACGATTCTACCTGAGCACATTCTGTGTTTGGAACTAGACTATCAGCTACTGACCCTCGGGAAGCTAACTGCTTTTCCACATGTCCTGCCCAGCGACGCAGCCAGCTAAATCATTAGCCACGATGGCCATGGCGGTGCTTTACCCCCGGGGAGCACCGTGGGCCAGTGGGCCAGTGGGCCAGTGCCGGGGATCCCAGCGTGGCAGAGAGAGGAGTGCGGGGAGGGTGGCTCAGGCCTCCCACGCAACCTCTTTCCAGCATTCGTCATTTACCGCTCTGTGTAGAGTCTGTCTCTCCGGGGAGGGGACACAGAGCCTCGGATGTGTCTATCTGCACTGCACATTCAAGGCTGGTCTTAACTATGACAGGATTAGCGATGCTGCAAAATGGCCCCCTTCCAGTTAATTATCTTGCCTTGAACACATATACTAGGTCACTACTGGCAAAGACCAATTTCTGGTTTAATGGGGCAGAAAGAAGAGATCCAGATAGAAATGTCTATCAAACTGTCTCGATCCTGATTAAAATATTCCCCTTAGGGGAAAGCACATGCCTCTTCTGTTTACTTGAATTTGCCTTTTAAGTAGTTGGTGAACTAGGAATTTTAATGGTGGAGAGAAATTCATTTGGTGCTGTGTGTATTTCAATTCCATTTCCAGCAGGCATCAGGAAGTCTTTTCTATATTTTGTCTTTGAATACTTTATAGCCAGATCTATTTCTCTGGAAAAACACACTGCATTTGGGGTAATAAAGCTTCTGCAGATTTCATTAAATAATTGTGCCAGGTAGGGCATAGCAGGAAATATAACTGCTGCCTTCGGAATACGGACGTTTATTGTACCATCAATTCAGAGTGGTACCCAGTAGCGAGAAGCCAGACCAAAGACCAGACACCCGGCCTCCTCCTCCCTCCCTCTTCCTTTCGCTGTCTGATCGGGACAATTCACGTCACCGTCGCTGTGCCCTGGCCAAGTAAGGCCAACACCAAATCATGGTGCCAAGTGAACCCCCCCACCCCCCGAGCTCTCCTCCGAAGCCACCCTTCCGGAGCCATGTTTGTGCCCCGACCAGCCCTGCCATCGTCCACAGCCCCCGTACTCTTCTCTGCAGCTGCAATCTGACGCTGTCACCAAGCTCTTCTCCCACTCTAGAACGCGCCTTCTTGTCCCTGCCACAAAATACCTCCAGCCCTCCTTCTCGCAGGATGGCTTGCTCCCAGCTCTCACTGCTCATGTCCTTCTTCCCTGCTCCTAAGTTTCCATGACTTTTAGCCACCCTGCATCAATCTTTAATTCATGCACTTATTTTTTTTATTATGTTATGTTAGTCACCATACATTACATCATTAGTTTTTGATGCAGTGTTCCGTGATTCATTGCTTGTGCATAACACCCAGTGCTCCATGCAGAACATGCACTCTTTAATCCCCGTCACCAGGCTAACCCATCCCCCCGCCCCCTCCCCTCCAGAACCCTGTAATGCATGCACTTATATTACAAATATTTTTAGTGTTTGCTGAGTATAGTGTCCGTTAAGCACAGCTCAGTGTGTTCAGGTGCAGTTCACTGTACAAACACCGTGTTGGGTCCGTTGGACAAAACCCGATGGGACACACATTTACTCTGCAGGCTGGCTGGAGACGGAAGTGCCACTGATCATATAAAAGGCAAAGTCAAGCGGGGCAGGGGCCCAGAGAATGAGGGGCCCGCACCCCGGCTTGGAGGCGGGGAGACGGAGGGCCTGTGTGGAGAAAGGGCCTTCTGTGCTCGCCTGGGCAGCACGTGAAACAGGACGGCACAGAGCAGATGAGCGTGGCCCCTGCACAAGATGACAGGCAAAGTCATGAAGCATTCCATGTTTTGAAAAAGGAAAAAAAAAGGCCTTTTGACTTGGCTCAATGAGAAGCCGGTAGGATTTCGAAATGCAAATGGCAGATGGAAGGAGAAGGCACTTCAGGTACAGATGAAGGTGTGGGGAGGAGGGTCGGGAGCAGAGTGAAGAGGGGCTCCGAAGGCAGGAGAGCCCTGGGGAAGGGGTGAAAGAGCCCTCCTGCTGCTCCGACGGCACCTCCTCCAGGAAGGCCTCCACCCTCCTGGCTGGGGCAGTTGCCCGCACCGCGCACCAGCTGTGCCCAGACCGGGTGCAGATGCCTCTTCCTCCCTCTGGTCCGTAAGCAACATGAGGATGGGCAGGTACCCCCCTTCCCTGGCTTTAGTGGGGGTCACATCCAGGGCAGCCACACCATAACAGAGAAGTCAGGCTGTCTCTCCAACTGTGGGTTGCAGCAAACTCAGTTAAGCTGCAGAATCAGAGCGAACATGCTGATTCTGTTCTAGAGAGACCACGGGCGCCCAGAGTCACACTGGTGAACGAAGAGGTGGGGCGGGAAAGAGTCAGGAGACCACTGAGACAAGCAGGACCTCCCGTAGGCAGGGCAGTGGCTCTGGGAAGGAGGTGTGGGCGCCTCACACCTGGGGTGTTCTCTCCTCCAGAGAATGCATGCTCCGAGAGCACCTCAAGGCCCTCCCACAGCCTGGCGGCCACTCCAAAAACAACACGACATACACAGTCTGCCTGGCTGAGGACACTGCTGCTCGGCAGCTCCTGGGAGTGCTTCTACCACAGCCCCGGACACACGGCAGCGCTAGGTGACATCTCCATGGGATCGGTTTACCCGGAAAGCATCAACGATGGCCCACACTGACTCCTGCGTGCTTTCAACTCTCTCCACCCTTCGGTACTGTTGACGCTCCGGACGGCCCCTCCAGCCGGGCTGCACTTGTCAAGGGGGTGTGCTGGGAGGCCAGAGGTCAACATGGCCAACGGATCAATATGGTCACTGGGTGTGCACAGGGAGAACCTGGTAGTTCTCCCTGAATTAAAGGCCAACAGGACATGAAACCCTCAGCCATGTGTCAGGACTTTGTCTTGCAAGACTCGAGGGGCACTGAAACAAAACTTTTTATAGACGCTCATTACTGTCATTACTCCTCAGGCAAGAGGCCTCCATTTTCCTTGAGAAGCATCAGTTCCTCTCCTTTCTGTACATATTCCCTGACAACTCCGACCTCCCGTCACTATCTGGGGGCCATCAGTCTGTTACTCAGAGGTCTCAGTTCTGACTTGGGTTCAGACACCCTCTGTCTGGCCATAGGTACATCTCTTAACCTCTTGCCACGGCAGATTTTAACAGGAAGGGCGAGCTGGGCTGCAGTCTGGGCCCAAAGCTGCAGCTCCAGCAAAGCCCGTCTTTATAGGACAGCCGGCCTGGGCCTCCCTGCCAGCCTACCATGTCGGCGCTGTTCTCTCCATGATGTGAGTCCGATCCCCTTAATGAGCTCCCTGCGGATGCTCTCCTGTACCCGGCCTGCTTCTGAGACAAGTTCCACTCTCTGCTGTGCATAGACTAGAGCAGAAATTTAAAACATCTTTCTTTTCTACCAAAGGGTTAGCTTAAGTGTCTTCTCCCCCCGAGACACTCTTTCTTCTTGGCAAACGTCTTATAATCTACTAGATTAGAAGCTCTCTGAGGGAAAGGCCCACATTTCAATGATAATCTATAAACCTTAAAGATCATCAAATGCTCGCTGGGAAAGCTCAGCGTATGCTTCTCATTTTCAAGGATGAAAGTTTTCTCTCCTGCTATGAGACGCTGTCAATGAACTCAAGGACACCGAGCAGCAAACTCAGGGTATTGCACTTGCCAGGCGAGGGGTGGGAGAGGACAGGGCGGATAGCGCTTCTACTTGGTTTTGGAAATTTTAGCTTCTGTGAAAGAGAAAGGCAAACATACCTCGTGGGGATTGGAATGCTGCCATGTTTCCTTTCCCTCAATATTAAATTTCTCCCACTAATTCTACCCCTGCTCCGTATCACAAGTTGAAAACAAGCTGAAAACCTAAACCTCTGGAGGACGTGCTTAAGGCAGAAACTTATGCAATTCCCACTTGAAGTCATGCAGCTGGGTGAGCTCAGATTACTGATGACTTCTCCAGCCTCCCTCAGTTCCCAGCAGAAGCCTTTCAAAAGGTTCCTGCAGTTTTGTTCATTAGGGATGATGAATAACGTGCAGACATTTCCCCAGTGTTGGGGATCTTAGAACAGGATCGATTTAAATCTTTGGGGAGGGGGGCAAGGGAGAGGGAGAGAGAATGCCTGTGTGTGAGCAAGAGACAGAGAAGAATATGAAGAACATGATGACAGATAGGGGGAGAGAAGGTGAGAGATACAGAAATCCTAGATGTTCAAGACACAGTTGATAGAAAACAGGGCAGGAATGGTGCTTGATATGTGAACAACATACTGACTCTACAGGTCCAACGGGGTGAACGGTTTGCCCAAACTTGACAAGTTAAGCAGGTTTTGGAAATATTTAGGTGGAAGTTGCAAATGAACAGAAGTCCGTTTGGGCAAACAGGAGTGATGTTGTTAAACACAGCACCTACACTAGCCTACCCTGTAAGGTCTGACACAGATGGGTCAGGTGTGGGTAGGAGGTCTTCCTATAAACCACAGGAATAAGGAACTGATAGGAAGAGTATCAAGGGAGTAACATGCATGTACCAGTTAATGGTATTTATATACATCTGAGTCCCCCTAACAATGGCCTGCCAATGAAACATTTCTTTTTTTTTTTTTTTTAAGATTTTATTTATTTGACAGAGAGAGACACAGCGAGAGAGGGAACACAAGCAGGGGGAGTGGGAGAGGGAGAAGCAAGCCTCCCGCCAAGCAGGGAGCCCGACGCGGGGCTCGATCCCAGGACCCTGGGACCACGACCCGAGCCGAAGGAACTAGACCCCAATTTTGTAACTTATTTACTCTCTACAAAACTCTACACACCCAAGGTCAATGCTAATACTCTTTCATGTTAGTCCTAACTCACATCAAGTAATAATTAAAAAAAATTGTACAAACGAGCTGTTTGCAAGGACAGAAAACTGCAGCAGGTTTGTGTATTAGTCATGAGCTATGTTCTGCAGAACCAATCATCTCTTAACAATTTCAGAGGCTTACAACACTGCAAGTTTATTTCTTGCTCACACTACATGCCCACTGAGGGCTGGCGGGGGGCTCTGCTCATCACTGTCACTTGGGGTGTGGGTTCGAAGATCAGATACCATCTTGACTGTTGCTGGTTGATGTGTTACAGGCCTCGAGGCTGTCTCACTAGTGATTAAATGCTCCGGACCAGAAGGGACATATCAATTCTGCTCACAGCTCATTGGCCAGAACTAGACACACGGGCCTGCCCCATCTCAAGGGAAATACTGGCAAGAGGCACCAGTGACATCCACACTCTGCTATGTGCAGCTCATCCTTTTAAAATGTCTCAAATACACATCATATGGGAAGACACTGATATGATTTCCTGGATGCCCTGTGTCCTTAGAGAAATAGCCGACGTCTCTAGACCACTTTCTATGTCAATTACAGGAGAGCAGAATGGGGCTGACCAAGTCACCTCAGCAGTGAGGGGTTTCAGGAGCCTTCCCCAGTAACAATGTAACAATAGGCAAACTTAAAGCATCGGTACCAATACCACGAGAAGCAGTGATCTGGTGAAGGGCGGGACTCTCCAGGTAGACACACGGATAGCCCCCCTGGTTCTAGCACCTACTAGCCGAGCAGCCCTGGCCAAGTGACCGGCCTTCTCTGTGCTTTATTCACCATCTGTGAAGGGGGACAGTAATAGTACCATCCCCCCCCCCCCGTCACCGTAAGGGTGGAATGAGGAGTAAGGTGCTAGAACAGTGCCTGGCAGTGCATGGTGAGCCCTGTTTTTTGTCAATCCTATTCTTTTTCTTATCCTCATCATCTGGACCTCCCTTCAGCCATATTTCTTTCAAACTAATTTGCTACTGCAACAAGCAAATTGCATTCCTCACAATAATCCTGTGAAGTAGGTCTAAGTATCCCCGCTTAAATCATGAGAAGACCCAAACCAACTCAGGTTTCAAATCTATCTGTCCGAGGCTGTCTTCTTTCACTGCAATGTTCTACGTGGGTTGCTCCCATATCGTGAGTGCAAGGGGGTCCACTTAATGTAAGGAAAATGACCCAGTATGTGTTATTCCTCCACTTGTGCTCAGAACTCTCCAAAGAGGGGCTCCTGGGTGGCTCAGTCGTTAAGCGTCTGCCTTTGGCTCAGGTCATGATCCTGGGGTCCTGGGATCGGGCCCCCGCATCGGACTCCCTGCTTGGCGGGAAGCCTGCTTCTCCCTCTCCCACTCCCCCTGCTTGTGTTCCCTCTCTTGCTGTGTCTCTCTCTGTCAAATAAATAAATAAAATCTTAAAAAAAAAAAAAAAAGAACTCTCCAAAGAAGCTGTTCTGCTAATCCAACAAATAGAAGTCAACATTTTCTCCATCGGGCTATATGCTGTATGCTTGGCAGAGTTAAGACAGCAACTCTCAGCTCTCTGTATGCAGAGCGGGCCAGGCTCAAGCCTCAGATGCCGGCCAGGAACCAGGAAAGAAAGGGTGGGGATGAAAGATGGCAAAGTGGAGATCCAAACTCTGCAGCCTGCAACTCAAATATTACAGTAGTATTTTTATCCATGCCTTTAGTCTATATGTTATATACATACACAATCTATATGTTATATACATGCATGACAAGTTCGAAGATGCATTTCAGTCCTAGTCTGAAAGCTGCTACTTTTCCACCTTGACTACAGCCATATCCTTTTGCCTGAGGGCCTGATAAGGTGCCAGGAACCCACCCTGTTTGTCCCTGTCTGTACTAGACCGGGAGGGTCCCCCTGGAAGGCACAGGATGATCAAGTAGCAGGACTGGTCAATAGGTAATTAAATGCTCCAGACAGTAGGGACGCGTCAATTCTGCTCACAGCTCATTGGCCA